CTGCCTTGCAACTGCAAGGACCTGAGTTCGATTCCCAGTACCAAAAAAAAAAGAAAAAAAATATTTTAAACTATTGTCACCATGCTTTATACCAGATCTCCAGTAATCTGAAAGAACTTTAAAGCACACAAAACCTTAAAACTTTCTACCTGTGCACAAGTATTTTGTAAAAACTTTTATTATTTTATATTATTTATTCTTCATAAGTACTCAATTGATATTTTACAATTCAAAATATAAGAGCTTATTAATTCTTTTTGTTTGTTTTTTGGTACCGGGGATCAAACTCGAGTCCTTGCACTTGCGCAGCAGGCAGCGAAACCACTGAGCTAAATCCCTGGCCCGAGCTTATTAATTCTTTATGTGGTCAAGTGCTCTACTATAAGTTGTTACTTTTTACAGAAAGGTTCATCACCAGAAGTATTTCTAGATATCATTCATAATTAATTCTAATGCAACAGATATTAGATAAATGGAATCTACTATCAACAAATTTTTGTGGCAATAGCTGAGACTAAAATATCTAAAAAATAGCTTATTAATCTATATAGATAATGATGCAGAAACAGCTTTGTCTAGTTTCTTCTAAGTACAGTATCAGTTATGTCTTCCCTTTTCAACAAAATTCATAACAACCATGTCATGACTCTCCAAAACTGCTCACAAATGCTAATATTAAATATTAAATCTGTTGAACATCTGTTGAAGAATATACTGTCATTACTAAAATGTTCCCCTTTTTGAGCCAGGCATGGTGGTGCACACTTGTAATCCGAACACTCTAGGAAACTGAGGCAGGAGGGTCACAAATATGAGCCAGGCCTGGGCACTCAGTGACTTAGCAAGACCCTGTCTCAAAATAAAAAATAAAACGGGCTGAGGGTGTAGCTCAGCACCAAGGTCCTGGATTCAATTCTCAGCACCTCAATCAGTCAATGAAAAGCACCTCTTTTTAAATTATTCTGCTATAAAAAGAAGAGAAAGACAAAAGTCAATGTTCTACTTCAAAAAGAAAGCAACAAAGGCAACAGACTTTAATATATTCATTCCATGCTTGATGCAACATGACCACTTAATACATATAATAACTTCAAAAAGATCATTTTATTCAAAGATTTTGTTAATATAAGACAATAACAGCAAAAAAACCTCAACTAAAACCACATGTTCACAGTAGAGAGTTAACCGTTACTGGTTTACTGTTATGCTTAAACACCTGCGCTTCATGTCCAACTTCTGCAGAGTGAAACAGCAAACAGATTCACAAACTTTTTAAGCAGCTGTACAAATGTACCTTAACAAACAACAAACTACTCTAAAAACTTAGATAAAGGTTAACTGAGAATCAATATTATATTGCTGACTAGGGTCTCTATAGGGAAGGGAGGTACCTATATTTAAAGCTTATAAATACTAACAAAATCTACTTAATAAAAACTTGAAAGTATGCATTCATTTTAGTCTCATAAATATTTTACAGTTTAAAGTCTAAGAGAAAAGTGTATTGTTTGAAAGTAGAAAATGATGACTAGGAAAGGCATTGAAAGGTATCAACTATTCTTTATTCTATCTATCTAAAAAGGACCTGTATTTCACTAAACACGAAGAAAAAAGTATACTCATATTTCATGTCACATTTTTTGCTTAATCAGGTCCAGCAAAAAATCTTCTATGTATTTCTTTTGCAACTTTTAAAAAAGTAATGTGTTGTATACATTTAAAGTACATAACATGATGTTATAAGATACATATAAGTAGTAAAATAGTTATATAGTGGACATACTAGATTTTTTTCCAAAAAAAATGGATAATAATCTCTAGGCTAATCAGCAAGGGGGCAGAGGGGATACTGGGAATTGAACCCAGGACTTTCCCACTGAGGTGCATCCAAGCTTTTTATTTTATTTATTTATTTATTTAGTTGGGGGAGACAGGGTCTTACTAAGTTGTCCACATTGGGCTTGAACTTGTTTTCCTTCTACCTTAGCCTCCCAGAGTGCTGAGATTACAGCAAGGGCCACCATGCCAAATTTTTTTCTTTTCTTTCTCTGTATCTTCTATTTTTTCTGTGATGATTATTAGAGCTTTTGTTTGTTTGTTTTGTTTCTTTTTTTGGTTGATTATTATAGCTTATGTAGAAAAAAAAGCTTCATTGACAAAACAGAACCAAAAAACCCTCAATTATATTTTAAATTTTTATATACTAAGTGAGCTTAAATTAGAACACATCTATATTTTTAGTCTAGAAGACTATCACTGAAGACTACATACTATTTGTAACAATTTTACTCTATATACAAAGAATATATTGCCAGCCCCTCATCTCTTCCTTTCACAAAATGATCCATCCCACACACTACACAGCTCTGGTAGGAATGTTAACATTAAATGCTCAACTGCATGGCAGCAAGAACGGGCTCAATGGCCCAGGGCTGGCCATGTCCTTCTCCAGTGTCTAAGTATGTGAGCTGAGCAAGGTCAACTAAAGGTCCTCAGAATTTGAAGCATAAATACCACAAAAGTTCCCTGTCTTCTTTAAAGTATAAGGATCATGTAGACCATTATATCACTATGTAGAAAGCCAAAACATGGAAGCATCACGCAGTGCCTTTAAAGTCAATTGACACCCTGATGGATTCAGATATATTTGAAACCACAGTAGGCTAAGCTTTTCCATTATATAAATCCATACATTTCACTTTTTTGCGTTAAACTGGTTTTTTGTTTTGTTTTGTTTATTTTCAGCCAGGATCTTGCTATGTGACGCCCAGCCTGGCCTTGAACTCACAATTCTCCTCCTCCTAGCTGGGATTACAGGCGTACACTATTATACCTGGCTCCTTCAACTGTTTAAAGTGGGGTTTTTATATTTCCAACCACAGTAGGTCTAGTATGGCACAAATAAGGCAAAAGTTACTTCTTACAAAAACTTCTCAGAGGTCTGAGGATTTAGCTCAGTGGTTCCGCCACCTGCCTCGCAAGTGCAAGGACCCGAGTTCGATCCCTGGTACCAAAAAAAATAAATAAACCCAAAAGAACAAAAACTTCTCAGAGAAATATAAAGTGCAAAACAGAAATTTAAAATGTAAATATTTAAATATATATTTAATGAGCCTCCATAAGAAGGCAGTATCTTCCACACCTATGAGTCACTCACTTGTTACCATCACAGAACACATAGAATCAGTCCCCTTTTTTTTGGTACTGGGGATCGAACGCAGGACACTGCACTCGCAAGGCAGGCAGCGGAACCACTGAGCTAAACCCCAGGCCTGAATCAGTCCCTTTTTGAAACTTTTTTTCAGTGGCCTTCTAAATCATCAGGATAACGATTTCTTCCTGTTTTACTTGCCGTTCTTTGTATTTCCTTCGCTCCTCTGCTTCTTCCTATATTTATGTTAGAGAAGCCCTGTGCTCAGACCTGGGCCATCATGTATTCTCCATCTGTCCACTCACTATGTAATCAGACACAGTCTCACTACTTTAAAATAATTTTATTTATTTATTTATTTTTACTTTTTTTGGTACCGGGGATGGAACTCAGG